TATCTCAGCAACAAAGCACCATGGGGATGAACCAACTTAGGGTATTTCACTACTCACTGAGGTCTACAAGATACAAGTAGTCCGAGTTCAAAAGCGATTTATAACCTCAAGAGGTTCCCTCGTAAGTCTTTACTTTTTTGAAATGCATACACTTGATCCGGATTAAGTTCTCCACAAAGCAGGATATTGTGCAGGTCTATAAGGCGTTCGTGGATCGAATTATAAACATCTTATCGTATATTCAAACAAATGCTGCACTGTATTACGGTATACAGCTGCTGTAAATGTATTTTTAAACTGATTGCCCATTGTAAATACTAAGCTAAAACTCGAAGGTCATAGAGCAATTATTTTCTTTTCATCGAAAAAATGTTTAATTCTATTATTCTTTGCTCTAGAAGAAGAATTTTTAACTTGACCTTATTTTTTCATAAAAACAGAGGTTTCGATAATATTCCAGAAGAATTTTACAGGTCCTGTTGTTACTAAAGCCAAGCAACGCAAAAATATGAAAAATCTGCTGCTAGAGTTCTCTAATCAAATGTATTTTCTTCATTGTGAGACATTCCGGGGCAAAATATCGTTAAAGGCGAGAACATAGCTTGTGGAAGAAGGAAATTCTCGTTTTTGACCCTGAATTTTTAATAATCACCCAAGAATTAAGAATTTCTTTTAGCCACCGTTAGTAACTGTTATTTACGACTAGAAGTAATTTACCAAGGTATAATTATTTCTACATGACTCCCGCTTTCAATAACGGGAACATTAATTCGTCCGGGAATCGTTTTAAAGATTTTCTCTTTTTTCGCTCTTTGTTTAATCGATTGCCGAATTTCTCCAGTGCTTTACATGATTATGTGAGCTATTCAATATTCTGAGTCGTACTGGGGCCGGAAAAAACAAGAAATTGTGAGTATGCCTTACTTCGATCATCATCGGCCAAATGTAGCATTTTTTCGATTTCACCATGTTTTAAAGAATATTCGTTTTTTTCATCTTCCTCACTTGTTGTTTCTAACCATTGTAATGTTTGTTCAATTTTATGTAGAAGTGTATTTTCTGTTATCAGTGTTTTTAGATTAAAACAATATGATTCCAATAAATTTTTTGCTTGAAGTCGATCATATTTTTCATCCGCTTCTTTTCGATATTTTTCACAATCTGTTTTCATTTGTTTTATTTCATTTTTTGATAAACAATTTTTAGCATTAGTCACTGGGACAAGATATTCTTGGCCAGTTGTTTTATCAAGGACCTGTACATTCAATGTGCCGTTATTGTCAGTGTCAATAGTTACTTCTATTTGAGGATCTTTATTTGATGCTGATCTACTCAATTGAGATAAACCTGTTGCACCATTCAAGTGTGGACCGTCCATTAGTTCAATAGTTTCCAATAAACAATTATCTTTTGTCATTGGATGCTCACCTTCGAATATTTTGATTTCTAGACCGCGCTTAATTGCAACTGATTGATAATTTTTGGAAATTGTGAATATTTGTGTTTGCTTTGCAGTAGTTGTCCTATTCCGCCTTATTATTGGCGCCATAATTCCCTCCGTTACTTCTATTCCCAACGTAAATACTTGTACGTCTAATAATAAATGGTTCAGAATACTTCTTGAATAATCATCAGTTAAAATAGCTGCTTGAATAGCAGCACCACAAGCAGTCGATTCATTGGGATTAACTGATTGATTCAGTTTCTTTCCATTAAAAAATTTTTCTAATATTTCTTGAACTTTTGGGATTCGAGTTGACCCGCCAACTAAGACAATTTCATTAATAGATGCTTTATCTAACTTTGAATCGTGCAACGCTCGTTCGACCGGTTCAAGAATAGAACAAAATAAATCAGCTACAGACAAAATAAAAATGCTAATAGAGATTTTTTTCATGTGTTACGCAACGTTTTTATTTACATTGGCTTTTACTCGAAAAATCGTAATAACTTCAAGAGATGGAACTCTTAGTTTAGCTTTATTTTCCGGAGTATCTGAAAAGTAAGTGCGTCATTTTTCATTTGTTTCTCTATGCAGAAGAAAAGAGAGGTTTTTTAATGGCGTTGTTGCGACAGATAAAAATATTTTGGGCGGATCAATCAAAAGAAATGTGTTTAAGAGATGACTCATGAGCTGATCGCACTTGTAACCAGAGCCATCAAACGTAACATAGTTTTGTTTGTTTAATAGTCTCCATCAGTTCTCCATAAAAACCTGTGTAGAAGAATTCCTTCTAAGGCTTCGAAACTCTTAATAACTGAGAAATTAATTTTTTTCCTAAATACTCCATTATCTTTTTTTATCAAAATTCAGTATTTTATTGATAGCCAAACATACCCTTACGTGGAAATATTTGCAAGCGATACATGGTTTTTTATCCGAAACCTATTTGATTATAAGTAAATTTTGATGTTGATCTCGAATTTGATATTGACTTGATCGATTACATATTTCCATCATCGATTTCTCCACATCCTGTCTTTGTATGTTTGTCTTAAAATCTGAGCTGGGAAAGTTCTGATCTGTCAAGATTGTAAAACATGTCGAATTACTTTTCAGATCTAAGCAATGAGTTTTGGCTGAGATACGAAGTTTTTATGAACCATAATGCAGAAATTTTTCCAAATTCATATGCGATACTTAATAAAAAATTTTATATAAGTAATTCAACGTTTACTGCAATCTGGACAGGTCAGAACTTCCCCATCTTAGATTTTAAGAAGGACCTACAGAGACAGCAGATGTCGACAGATCCATAGTGGAAGCATATAATAGCCCAAATCAATATCAGATTTAAGATCAGCATCAAAAGTTACTTACAATCAAATAGGTTACAAACAAAATAATTTGAGCCTTTCTCAAAAAGTGTAAGAGCTAGAAATTTCGTTCTTGCGCCATTCAACGTAGCTCGCCATACTCTACTTTTGGTATAAAAATGTGGGTATATGGTTAAAGACTCGAATTTTTAGAACCGCTTTTCGGCGCGTGGCGCTGTGACAAAAAAAGACTCTAAATTCGAAGTTCTTCTCATTAAAAGCTAATTTGCTGCGAATTTAGAAGATAATAAAAAGCGCCTCGAGCAAAGTTTGTAGAGGAGTAAACGAGCTCTATCGATTAGTGTGGCTTTCCATTTTTATTAGGAAAGTGTCTAAGCGAGGAAATTGAAAATACAGTTTTCAGAAAAGGTAAAACTGGATTTTTGGTGGAACTATCTGAAAAAAAGAAACTATATTTCTTGACCTAAGGGAGGGGGTCCTCATTTTTTTAAGGCATGAGATTATAATTAATAAGTGCTAAATTAATGATAATTAGCGTCACTCTGGTATATTACACTTTTATTTGTAAGTTACTGATTTCTTGATGATCGTGAAGGAATATATCATGAAATAGATTTTCAAGCGCTACAAAACCCTGTACTAGTTTCTCAAAATTTTACTAAAAAAAATTAGTAGTTATTTTACCCGATTTTTACATGTATTGGACGACTAAACGGTTTATTACCGTGTGCACAAAAGCCAGTTTTTCAATAACTTTTGATTGAGAATAGCTAGAGAGTTGCGGTTTTCATCATTCGATAGGCAGGACATCGCTGAATCTTTATGTAGCAAACGAGCTATTCAAAACTTGTTGAAAATCCCATTTTAAGGGAACCTCTGGAATACTGAGATCTAACTGTGAACACGCAGCATAAATAAACTGATTCTTTTCCGTAGGCAGAGAGCCAAAATGTTTCCCACAGAATGGGTGCCATTTGAGACCTTCATTTGCAGTGGTTCATGTGTAGTATCGGATTTCTTACGAACCCCAGCACTAGTACCCGGTGATACTGAACATGCATGAAACATAACGTATTCAGCGTTGAATCTGGTGGCAATGCTCGTTTTCGGAAAAGATGGAAATAATTCCAAAAGAGGGGATTATGCTTTAGAGTTAGGCCTCGGTATTCCAGAGGTTCCCTTAAAAACAGGATTTTCAACAAGTTTTGAATAGCGCGTTTGTTATATAAAGATTCAGCGATGTCTTGCCTATCGAATGATGAAAACCGCAACTCTCTAGCTATTCTCAATCAAAAGTTATTGAAAAACTGGCTTTTGTGCACACGATAATAAACCGTAAAAATGATGGTCAATTGTTTTTGGAAGGAAGCATTTTCTTACTGATGAAGGACCCCCATATCTGTCATCGGCAGAGGGCATACTACTCTATGATTTTATTCACGCAAGCAATTTTCATATCTCAATACAATCAAAAGTATTACTTTTTTTTGATTGATCCTGTCTATTATTGAATGGTTATAAACAGATTGAAGCAAAATGTAACTGTGTTGTATAGCTGTATGAATAGGAAACAGGTTTAGCTACTGTATGTAACAGAAAAAACTGTAATATTTGATCTCGTAAAATATAATTTTGTTGAAAAACTGTAAAATTCAGTTCTGAACAATATTGTTATGAAAATTCAATTTGATACAGAAAAAAATAAGTTTTACAGACGAATATAGTTCACATTTCGAAGTTCATTCCCTATTATATCCGACAAAAACCATTTATTTTACTTCTTCTAGTCTTTTAATTGAGATACCAGTTAAGAATATTGAACATAAGATTTTTTTTTTTTGTTAATTAGAAAAGTACAATTGGTACACAGTTTTATAGAAATGTGAATAATTTTCTAAGAAAAATATTTGATTTCTCAGCGAATAAAAAGTTCGAAGCTTCTACACAAAATTTGCTCTCTTTCTAATTTGCTTATAAATTATTGGATGAAAGAAGACTCAAAGAGAGACAATAGCTCAGAAAACGGGCACTTTGAATAAATGCAATTGTGATTTTTAGATAAAGTTTCAGAAAAATTACTAACCGTTTAGTTCTTCAAATTTCTCTCGTGTTATTGTTGAATCAAACGGAGTATTATGGTTAAATAACAAGTCCATTTCGATTGTTGCTACGTTTGACGATGATAATGTTTGCTTTGCATTTTCACATGCTACACGTAACAGTTGTACCGTACGTTTATCGTCGGTAATATTTCTCGATATTTTCTTCTGCAATTTTTTTACAAAATAACTAACCATTCGATCTGTAAAATCTTCACCGCCTAAATGAAGATTACCAGCCATCGACAAAACTTCATATAAACCGTCTTCTATTTTCAGGACACTAGTGCTTAAGTTACCACCTCCTAGATCAAATATTAAAATATTTTGTTCACCTTGTACCTTTTCTAAACCATATGATAGGGCTGAGGCTGATGTGTCATTTATCACTCTCAGTATGTTCAATCCAGCTATCGTTCCAGCATCCTTAATCGATTGACGTTCGATAAAATTGTAATAGGATGGTACACTGATGACAGCGTCTATTACTTTTCTGCCTAAATGAAATTCATACTCAAGTCTACTATTGAGAAGGTGAAGAAAAAAATTTATAAACCTAAATGTCGTTCAGCTATTTGTCTCATTTTTACTATGATCATTGAGCATAGTTCTTCAACAGAAAATATTTTCTGTTCATTTTTATATGTTACTTGAAATTTCGGTTTATTATTAACATTAGTTAACGTAAATGGAAAATCTAACATGTTTATTTTATCAAATTTTTTTCCAACTAATCGTTTCATATTAAATACGGTATTATTTAAATTCATTTTTATTTTATTTTTTGCTTCATCGCCAACGAATATTTCTCTATCAGTAAAGGCTACATAAGATGGTGTTGAAAATCGTCCCAGTTCATTTGTGAATATTTCTAATTTTCCGTTACGAAAGAAGCCAACACGTGAGTAACTTGTACCAAAATCAATTCCAATTGCGCCAGTCATTTTTTTTTCTATTTCAGTATTAACATAAAGAAAATGATTAACGTAGACCAAGATGATAAAACGTTGAAACTCTTTTCAATACATGCATGAAAAATGCAAGAAGTATAAACTAATTTTCTATCTAACCAGAACTTCACTCTATATTCGTAACGGGTCGGAAGTGGAAAAATTCTGATGATTGTCCTATATTTAGGAAGGATACAACTTACTCTCCATCTGACAGACGATGGTTACGGACGATGGCTTTTTTTCGTTCGTTTTATACTCCGTTAAAAATTTTTACGTAAGATAATATTTGAATGTGTGGTAGTCAATAGACTGACGAGGGAACCTCACCAACTGATACCCTCCGGGTGAGCTCATACTTTGCTCATAGGTGGGACTCATAGTGTAGATAAAAACTCTAAAAGGATTCATCCGCTTGACTCTTGAAGACCAAGAATTAATTTCTTCTTATTTCTGTAGCTTTGAGCTGACAATAAACATTTAGGGCTATTCTTGTAAATTCTATAAGTTTGCGAAGAAAGGTCATGTAGAGCTGGGAGATGTCTCATTTTAATCAGAGATGTGCGGGCTACAATCATGTCTCAATAAGAAAAGGTTTTGGTTATTTTTTAGAGTTTCTGAAAAACTGTTTTTCCAGAAAACCAGGTCTTCAAGAGTCAAGGGGATGAATCCTTTTAGAGTTTTTATCTACACTATGAGTCCTACCTATGAG